ACACACACACACACACATGTATATGTATATTTCTGTATATACATTTTCCTTTTCCTTGTTTTATGTATGTATTATATCTGAGAAAGGTGTGAGCTTTATAATTTTTTCAACCCTTAAAAGAAGAGATAAATTGAAGCAAAGGAAATATTATTGTAAATAGCAATTGTGCTACAAGTACAGTACTTTTTATATCATTTTTACAGCACTCTCACATCAAACAAATGGATCTCACTATTAAAATAATCGTGGAGCTCACTCACAAGAGTGATCTGTCAACATACACTCAGCTGAATTCTTGTAAATAGGGATAGAAGAGCACATGGTAATGAGTTATGGGTATAATGTTATAGTACTCTATGTGACATCTTATATAACAATTAGTGATTTGATATATTAATATATTAGTTTTTTTTATCTCGTGCATTAAATTATTAACAGTTACATGTAATCACGTAGGACGATTGCAATAGTGACTAACTGCAGATAACATTATTTAATGTCATCCAGGGGTATTTGTATTTTCATTCAATTCATCAATGAAGCTAATTGCTCCAATAATCATTGTACATATGTTTGTCTTCGACTGTTCACTGAAATTGAAAATATCGAATTTTTACTAGTAATCTTATTAAAATGTTGAATGTTACTTATTGATATAACATCTGTTTCAAGCCTCTAACAAAATTGGTAATTTGGCTAACGTAATGCATAAGTGACGCTCGTTGCACTTTTATCAAATTGCCACGTTAGAAAGCATCTTTCATTGTTCACTAAACTTTGAAAAAAGGTCTTCAATTGCTCACTATATCTTGGAAGATGCCTTTGGCTTTGAGCTGATCAAATTTTGGTCACTAAACTTATAAAAGTGACGTAAGCCCGTTGTTCATTAAAAAAATGTGTCATCAAGTATGAACGTATCGCATACAAATAATAAAGTAGACAAATGAGTTCGCGTTGTCGATCCCATGAGAAATTATTACTCAATTACATAATAGTTAAATTTGATTTTAACGACAAAGTACACGATAAATTTGAATTTTTCAAATGATGAAAAATAACTTAAAATTCTACAAAAATAACAAAAAGATCAAATAATAAAATTGAGGAAAGATCTTATGTCAATGATATTTTCATTATTTTTGTAGAATTTTAAGCTATTTTCATCATTTGTAAAATTTAAATATATTGTGTGTTTAATTGGCAAAATTAAAATTAATTATTATGTAATTAAGTAATCATTCCTCGTGAGATCGATAACTTAGACTCGTTTATCAATTTTATTACTTGTACGCGATACATGCTCTTGCAGTACCCATTTTTTAGCGAACAATATGTCGACGTCATTTTTATAAATTTAGTGACCAAAATTCGACTACCTCAAAATTTATTGAGCAATCGAAGACATTTTTTAAAGTTTAATGAGCAATGAAAGACACTCTTCTATATGACAATTTGATAACGACATAAGGAGACGTCACATATGCATTTTTTTTAGTCACGTTACTAATTTCATTAGAGATTTGAAACGGATTTTATGTTAATGAATAAACGTCAAAAGTTTTGGAAAATTAAGAGGTCAAAAGTCAATATTTTAAATTTTAGCAAGCAATTGAAGGTACGCCCATAAGTTTGTTGGGAAAATTAAGTCTCATTGCTGCTATATAATTAAATTTTTTTTCACTCTTTTGT